GGAGCTCCCGCCAGCTGAGGTCTCGGTGGGCCCTGGGCGCCCAGCGCTGCGAGTTCTCTCGGCATTGGCTGTGCCCAACGCGTCACACGGGGCACCGGGAGAGGGTGGGACGGGAGAGGACTTGGTGCTCATCTCAGGGAGCCTTGTATTTACGTGTCGGAGCACATTCACATGTCTGCTCCGCGGGGCTGAAGAAGGAAAGCCTAGGTTTACGGCACTCCCCCCGTTTTGTAAGCAACTTTGCAGTCCTGAAAGGGTCATTCTCTTTCTCTCTCTGATCAGTGGCAGCAAGCAACCATCCCGAGACTGACTACAAGAACAAAGACTGGGTTTTTATCAATTACACCTACAAGCGCTTCGAAGGCCTGACAGCCCGAGGAGCGATCCCATCCTACATGAAAGCAGGAAAGTAGTGATTCCGTACCTGGGACAACTGAGCTGTGAAATCCTGTTCCTCTGCTTTGGGTTTATACCCCCAAAAGAACTTTTTACTCTTCTTTTTTTTAAAGAAAACTCGAGGGCTGTCGACTCTCAGGGGAGACTTCAGGACCCTGTTTTGTTACGCATCCTGGTTGTCACTCGGGATTTTTTTCTCATTCTGCGCCATGGAAAAATTCCCCGAGATGTTTCCATTGTCTCTGCTGCAGGCACGTTCCGCTGCTTCGGGAGCAAGAGTTTTTCTTTTTGAATCCATTGCCGGACCGTGGCCCGGGGGGAGGTGAGAGCCAGCCTTCGCCCTGACGCCGCAGAGCGCCTGCTGTTTGTGTGGACTCCGTCGCCAGTGCTGCGGCAAGCGCCAAGCTCAGGCTGCCGACGCCGCCAGCGCTGGTTTCCCGGCGCCTGAGGATTCAGCGCAGAGGAAACAAAAGCAATAATTGATGCCCGAGGTGGACGACTCTCCAGTGGAAGGACACAACTCGTATTGCCTTAACCTTCGTTTGTAGTGCTGGTTTTTTACAATGCCACGTGGAAGCCTCTTTAAAAGCACCTCAGCTCCGTGGTGCACTTTACTTTTGGTACTAAGACAGTGACCCTCAAGCCATTTAATGTGTTTTCTTTTTTCCCCCTCCGTTAAAAAACTCTGCATCACCTTTTCTAGACAGTAGCAGGGGAAATGGGCCGCTTTCTCGACCGCCCGTTTTCAGTTACCGTGTGAGGGGCTGGATCTGTAACTGCAGTTCCCAAAACTACGGCTGGTAACGCAAGTGGGTCTGGAATTAGAGTGGAGAGGGCAGGAAATGCATTTACCCTGAACTTTGGGAATCCGGTGCTCAGCTGGGGCAGCCCTGAGGTTTCCCATCCCTGCTGCTGCCATCTTTTGGCCACTTCCAAGATCTTTGTCGGTTTAAAGACAAAACCATCTCCGCGGCCTCTTTGCTCTTGGATTGGAGCGGAACAGTATCGGATTCTTCCGTGAATTGCGATGAGAGGGGCCTCCCCGGCTTTTCCTGGCAGGGCTCCTCTTGCCGCCGCGGCTGAGCCGTCTGTCCCTGCAGTCTTCCAAGGAGACGGTGCCTCACGGGGTCGCTTTTGGAGCCGAGGAACCCACCACGCTCACCCTTTGATTGTTGCCTCGTGTGAGCTACAGAAGTGCGTTCCGTTGCGATCCGGATGCTGTCCCGGAGAGCCCCAAAGTGCCTTTCCTTGCCCGAGCATCTCTCGGAAGATGACTGCGTTTTGGGAAGAAGGATTCTGCCTCAGCTGAGCTCCTGCTAATTCCTTTTTGTAACCGTGAGCTCCACTTGGAATGCGTTCTGTCGTTAACCCCACGCTTCCCGGGGCAGGCGGCGCTAACCTTTGGGTCTGCCTGGTAGCAGTCTTTGATTTAAAAACGTACATTTCACGAGGTTTCTAAAAGCACGTAGAGCTGCCTTGGGTTCTTGCAGACTTTTAGCGGTGCTGAACACTGCCGACGCGGCACAGACCAAACCAAAGCGAGAGCGGTGTTTCAGAGCAAAAGGGCGGCTTTCAGTTGTATTTAGGCCGAACTTTTCTAGATTAGGAAACGAAAGAAGGTGAGTTTGTAGTGAAACTTCTTTTTAATAGGTGCTTTTAGGGATTTTTTTTAACCTTTTGAACGGAGTGCCATCACGAAGGACTGCTTGGGGGACGGAAAGACCCGCGTGTCGCTGAAGCTGGGTGCTGACTGGTTAGCATCCTCGCCCTAACCACCCCCTCTGCCTTCCGTACGAGCCCGAGGCGTTGAACGCGTTGCCGTAAGCAGTTCAGAGCAGTTGGATCCTGCCGACCTGGAATGCAAACCCAGATGTACCTGGATCCCTGCCGCCGGCAGGCCTTAGGCGGGTGAGCAAGGGCTAACGGGAGTAATGATTTCTAGGGTCAGGCTAGTCAGGAACATCACCTTCTGCTCCCGATTTTTTATCTCCTTACCCTGCAGTTTCTTCTAGCCATTTGCAACGTTGCCTTATACACCACTGGGAAATGAAGAGGTATTCGTGTCAGGACAGTTTTTTTAAAATTCCAAACAGCTTAATTACTGCCTTAAAAGAAACAAAATTCTTTAAAGCTGCTGTGGATTAGGAATAAACGACTTTGAGTAGCTGCATCACTCGCCCTTTGCTAAAGGGACCGGCGTGTTTATCTACAGATACCAAAGATGAAGCCGCAAATCGTACGTCGCGATAACCTGCTGCGACCCCCCTGTGTTGCCCACCTGCAGCGCCTGTGCCGAAGGCTCCTGGAACCTCAGGCTGTTGGCTTGTTGAGTTCCAGGAGAAATTTCTCAAAGGCACGAGGAGCAGTTGGGTACCTCCCTCCTGTTGTCTTTCCGTAGAAGTTGGATGTCTGCACCGGAATCCTCTGGGACAGACCTCTCCAGCGGTAGGTTTTGTATCGTAAACCTGCTTCCTATTCCCGGCGTTCACCAACACCAGGGAAAAAAGTACAGCCTCTGCTTTCCGGGATCCATGCTTCACTGCCAACAGGTTAATTCCGTATGGCTCTTCCATCTCCTGTGTTAACCAAACACTTTCCTTAGCTGCTGGCTTGAGTACTGAGGTCATGTATATCTTTTAGCTTTTTTTTTTTTTGAGCCACAAGCAGTTGCTGGAGTAATTCCAATCTGGATTTCCACTGCACCCGAACATGAGTTATGCTGCCAGTTCAGCCCTGTATCAGGCCGAGCACAAAACTGCACTATGGTTTATCACTGTGCCCTGACTCTGCCTTAACCTCCAAGTTCAGAAAGCGTTCTGTACGCAGCGAAGAGCCATTACTAAATTGCACTGTAAAATTGGGCAGGTGGGGTTGCGTGTTGCTGGGGGGGAGCCGACTTTTTACGGAGCAATTCCCGCCTCGTGTCATGTAAATAAACCGCGGTTGTCTCAGCGTGCTGTCTCTTTACAAACTGGAATCTCACAGGGTTGTGTGTTCAGGTTTTAAACCGACTGTTGGAAGGGTGAGCTCAGGGCTGGGAATGTCCTGGTAGCTCTGGGCTTGGAGCCTGCATTTCCGAAAGCTGCCCAGCAGCCGGCGGTGCCTAGTGCTGGTCTGCAGGGGTGTTCAGCCTGCGTGGGCAGGGGCGGGTGACGGCTCAGGCCTCGCTCAGGCCTCCTGAAGCCTCACTCAGGTCTAGGTGTCTGCAGCAGGTAAAGGTCACTTCAGCTTACCACCTGCGGGCAAGTTGTCTTTAACCTTTCCCTCCTCCTGCTTTTAAATGGGATAATAAGCCATGAGCAAGTGGCAGGGGAAGGAAAGCTGTGACCCTTCCCTGTTTCCAACCGGTTTGCAACATGCTAAAATTGACTTGCAGTTAGTTCATTGCTTGACATCTGTGACAGCTCCACTTGGGAGCCCAAGTTCCTGTTACCACTCCAGTAATTCCATGTTGTTCACAAACTCTGATGCCCTTTCCACGCTTAATCCAGAAAACCCTTGGAAGATGGAGATAAAAGCCAGACCTGCTCCAAGGCTGTTTTCCAAAGACAGGAGGAGGTGGACGTGGAGAGCATCTTTCCCAGCGCACAAGGGCCTGCTGCGGGCCCTGCGTGGTTTGTGTGTTCAGCGGCGCCGTCTCGTACCCGTGCTGTGTGCCGCTTGTGACCCAGCACCGCGGCGAGCTCGGCGCTCGCGGCAGCACAAGGGGCAGTAACGCTTTTGTGCAGCTGCTGCACGAGGGCCCTGGCACCTCATCAACTCTCTGTTGGTGTGAAACGACTTCTAAGACTTCGGGGGCACGAGCCACACTTTTAGTTTATGAAGCAAGGAAACAACCCTTCTGGCGCTCTAGCCCCGGCCCCTTCTACTCCACACTTAAGAGAGGTTGTACGAGAGGCAAACAGCCACGCATAATTTATACTTTAATACAGAAACCGTACATCTGCAGTTCATAAACACCACAGGTAACACTTCAGTGTATCTAGAGTAAGACAAAACTTGACCTTGTACCTGAATAGTCGCTGACCCGGAGAGGAGGAAAAGCAAATACATACTTTTCCCAATTAAAACCCATAAAATCCAAAATTCATCTTTAATTCCTCGGAAAAGCCAATGGAGTACAGGGGCTTTTTGGAGTGATAAGATGTGCATGGATACCTCCATCCCCACGGAAGGTCCAACTTGGTTACGCAGAGTACCGGAAGGTTCCGACGAGGCTTTGACCCTCAGGCCGTGCCCCGCTGCCGCTGCGTGCCCGGGGTCACCATTTCTAATGAACCGGGGACCCCGTAAGTGGCCGAGCTGGCACCTGGCTCGGGGACAGACACTGGTGGGCTGTGTTATGGCTGAGAAGGCGCTGAGCTGTCAGACCCACGAGGTGCCGTCCGCGTCGGTTGCTGGCAGATGGTCAATACTAATGCACTTACTTAAAACTTGCACTGCTCTAAAAATAAATACACACCAATAAAAAAGTACCCACAGGGCCAGGGGACAGTCTCACCCCTGCCTTTGCTTGACTTGTGGGAGCAGCTCATTACCGGGGCAAGGAATGGGTCTGGTCTGGCCCTCAGCGGGAAGGTTAACGGCCCATGTGTCTTCCCTTCTCTACTACAAAAATAAAAATTCCCCTCGAGCAGCAAGGGGAGGCGATTGCACACCACCTCTGTGCTGATGCTGAAGGACACTCCTCTCCGCTGAGCCGTTGACAGACTGGGAGGATTTTTCTGAAGCAGCCCAGGCCCACCTGACATCTCAGCCCCTGGGACTCTCAGGAGGTCCTGAAGCACTTGGAAATCTTCCCGTAGGCACTTAAAAAAAGCAGAAATCTATTTGCTGCACTTAGGAAAGAAGCTAAGACCAGAAACACTGCAAAGAATAGAACCTGTGTCCATACAAACGGGAACTAAATACATCAGCAAGTCTGTGCCTTGGCAGAGATTTTGTTACTCAGAACTAAAAACACTCCTAAACCTTCAGGAAAATTTGTGCTCAGTCCTGTTGTATTACGTACACTGAAAAAACCCAACATCCTTAGCAGCGAGCAGTAACAGCCATCTCCAATGGTAAGTCTACAATACACACGGATGAAGAATAATTAAGAATTTGCTCGCACCCTGACAACAAAGGATTAAACCCCCTGGGGGCAGACTGGCCTCTCTTTTGCCAGGTAACTCAACCTAGGTGGGACAGGTTTCAACAGCAGTCGATTGCAAGACCAGAACTGACCTGAACTTAACAACGTTGCAAGGGAGCGCTCTCTCCTTCTCTCTTTTGGGATGGGTTTCAGCTCTCCTTTGCACCAGCATCGCACCGAAGTACTCCACTTCGTGTACGTAAAACCTCGGCACAGGCCCATTCTGGTTGACGTAGCAGCACCTTCTCTTCTCCAGGCTGAACGAGCCCATCTGAACTCGCTGTGTGCTCATCAGGGGGTTCGGCAAGACCACAGGGAACCCCACGCTGCAGGACCAGGACCACCTGGGCTCTAAGAACTAACCGAGCTAAACCAGCCTCGAGTGTGTCTACACCTGTAGCAAGAGCTTTGTAGGTCCTGCATCCAAAACGGACAGAGCCTTGAGCACAGACTGTAGGATTACAGATTCAGAGCAGCAAAGGAGTGTTACTCCTAGGTACACGCGTTTTTCTCTGCTGAAGGCTGGTTTGCTACTGGTATTTCAGTAGCAAAATGGTCCAGTCAGTTCCAAATTGGGAAGAAGGTAGCTGGCCTTTTAAAGCTGCAACAGTAGAATGCTCCCTGGAGAATCTACAGACTGACTAAGGCTGATGACACCGAGGGTTTTACTCAGGTAGAAAACTGTCTGTACTGTGAGCTCCCCTGCTGGCTTTTTTTGTCGTAGCAGGGGGATGGAGGAGACAACTGAAAGCCTTTAGCATGCACACTCACCTCTAGAAAGCTTCTTACATCTATGAGGCTACTAAACAGATTGTACTCTTTTGGTAAAATATCAACTACTGTCTCTTCTTTTTGGCTTTTTCCTTCAGCATGATCTACTCGTTTTACTGAACTTAACAGACAACATCCCGAAAAACAGTGACTCCACCTTGCGGAGAAATCTATATCGGATATTCCTGCAACAGGCAGATGCTTCCTATTAAACTAGTTCATCCCTCCCTAGAGCAGCAGTACAACATGCTGGATGCGAAGCCAGGTGGCAGCGTAAACAGATTCTTCCACACTCGGGATCCTCCCGTCACAACTGTGCTACATTTCCGCCGGTTGATGAAAGTATCGTCTGTCCTCTTTGATGTTCGGTCCTTTGTAACTGATTATCACAAAAGCAAAGCTAAGTGCCTAATGGTAAAGGAAAGCTTTGCCCTGACAGGCCCAGGATTTTCCTCTCTCATGTCAAACAAGACGTTTCTAAACACTTCTGCTCTTCTTTTAGAAGTTTAGGTAAAATACTCAGCACCCACCAGGCTGGAAGCCTTTGTAGTAGAAACAAACAGCATAATTTCGTTTTGTCTGAGGAGACGCTGCTTTGGATTGCACTATCAGACTACGGGGTGTGCCTCTTTATTAACATGCCTGAAATATGACAACGCAGTAAGAGCACGAACGAGGACAAAGCACCTTGCAGGAGTCCGTGTCCCATCACCTGGGATGAAACTACGCTGAGACGCTCCCACGTCACGCAGGACTATTTCTCCCTGAGCCACAACTAATCTGGCAGGTCGTTAACAGCCATCTGGGAGAACGGTGCGTTTAGCCTGTCGAGTTCATCTACTTGGGGGGGGTGATGCATTATAACCTCATGGTCCTCCGAAACGTCGTCACCCACTGTGACGAGGTTTGTTAGAGATTTGCTCCGAACACACTGGAAATCAACGTGGCGGCTTTTGCCTTCTTCCTTTTCCCAGGACATCTGGATGAACGGCCGTTGCACGTAGTTGTATATCACTTCCGACCGGCCACCGGGCCTCCTCTTCACCTTCTCTTTACAGGTGGGATACCCTGAAAACACAGACAGCCAGTCAGTTGCACTACACGCCGCTGAGAAGAGCCAGGCAGGAGCGATTACAGGGGCAGGGGGCACTTAGTAGACAAATGCTCACATTCCACATTATTGGCTTGCAAAAAAACACCACCTTTCCCCCCAGAAAGACGGTGCAGCGTTGTGTGTAGTCACATGATCATTGGCTGCACAGCGTTAGTCGGTCTGTGAGCCAACATAGCTACTATAAAAGTAAGACAGGCTCCCAGGACTGAGCACGTTCTCCAAGTTCCCTAAGGGAATGCTTGGATCAGCAGGTGGAAGCATGGCTCCTCTTTCCTGGTTGCTTGGTTCTGAAGAGGCATAGGGGTACATGCTGCCAACCTCATGGAGTTCAAC